TCTGACCATTCATGTGGGCTGGACCTCCTATTCAATCAAGAGGTAGTAAAATATAGATGGCTGGTGGTTAGGGGACAGCAAATAATTAATGACTTTATTCACAGATCAAATGAAGTGACCTATAGAGGGAAAAAAGGAGGAGCCATAAAACAACTGGATTATTCTAGCCAGTTTGACTTATCCGCAGTGATTCTGTGTTTACCCTTGCTGTGCCAATGTGGGATTAGGAGATAGCCATAGTCATTGATTCTAGTGTGACACTAGCTGTAAACTGTATCAAGAACTAAGTGCTGCCAGGAGCACTAGAGAAAAGGTAGGAGTGTGTCACTTGGGTTGACTGGCATTATGTCATTGATCCTAGTGTGAGACTATATTACAAATAGAGAGTTGTTAAAAGATGTTTTTCGTGTGCGTGTTTTAACTGTTTGTATAAGAAAAATCTTCTTTGGGATACTGGGATGTCAGGAAAAATATTTTGCTGAGCCAGGGTCATTGATTCTACTGTGAGGCAAGCATACCAGCAAACAATTGTTAACTGTTTGGAGGATGAAAACTCTTCTTTTGGGGAGTGTGGTCAAGAAAAAAATTCCTAGCCTGGGTCATTAACTCTTAAGTGAGACTACTATACCAGTATATAATTGTTAGATGCTCATTTTATTTGTTTATTTACTCAATTATTAATTTTGTTAACTGTTTGAAAGGAAGATAATTACTTTTCTCTGGAATGTGGAGACAGGAAAACAAAGTTTTGCCTAGTCTATGTCATTGACTCTAGTTTGAGACTACCAGTATAGAGTTGATAAAAGTAATTTTTTTTTTTTTTTTTTTGCTAGCTGTTTGTATAAAGGAAATTCTTCTTTTGGGAAGTTTGGTGTCAGGAAAATTGACTTTACTGTTAGACTAGCTTACCCATTTGAGTGGAGACGTTGGAAGTATCATCACAGAAGTGGATGTGCTGGAGCAAGCTTCTCCTTCTAACAATTGAGGCAATAGCTCCTCTAGTGAATAAGATATATAATGGAGAAAAAGGCTAGGCAGGTTGTGGTGATTGGGGATTCTATAATTAAATGAGCAGACATTGTAATCTGTCACTATGATCACCTCAATTGGAAAGTTTGTTGTCCCCCAGGTGCATGTGTTCATCATCTTGCTGCTTTCAGAGTGGTTAGGTTGCCAGGAGGGGCTGGCTCTGACCAAGCTGTCATAGTCTATATTGTATATTGGTACCAATGACAAAGTCAGAGGAAGATGGAGGGTCCTAAAGAATGACTTCAGGGAATTAAAATGCAAACTTAAGAAGAGGTCCAATGAGGTGGAAAGTCAGAGGGAGATTGGGGATGTCAATGCATATCTAAAGTCCTGGTGTAGGAAGGATGGTTTAGAGTTTCTAGAGCAGTGGACCAATTTTGTACTTGGGTACAATCTTTATAGCCATGATGGATTGCACCTGAATGGAGGGAGGTCTTTTGTGCGGATGGGGGGTGAGATGGCTAGACAGCTGGAAGAGATTTTAAACTGGAAGTAGGGGGAGGGTGTCAAAAAAAGCTAAATGTGGCAGATAATATAGAAAAAAAAATTGGAATTTGTCCGAAGTCCAGGAGAGTGAAGATGAGGGGGGCGTTGTAAGATTAGCAGACAGCGTTAGCAGGATTTAAATACATGCTTTTCAAATAAAATGAAAAAACAAACAAACGTTAACTTTAAATGTCTGCTTGCTTTTGCAAGACGTGTGTGTAGGAAAAAGGGGGAGCTGAGTTGCATACAAGGAGCAGGATCACACAATTGGGATTACTGAGACTTGTTGGGATGAAACACTTGATTGGGCTATTAATTTAAGTGGCTGCACATTATTTAGGAAGGAAAGAAAAAAATTGAAAATGGGGTGGGTATATCTATATGTTAATGCAGATTTGAAGCCAAGTATTAAAGAAATGGTATGTGAGGAAGCAGAAGCCTTATGGATGGACATTTGCAGGAGATATCCATTAATAGTAGGGATATATTACCAACCCCCATAGATTAATATTGATGGGGAAGAGAAACTGCTATCTCAACTTAATAGAGCTGCACACCTGGGTCATTTGTTAATTATTAGAGATTTTAATTATCCAGATGCTGACTGGGCCAGAGGTTTTGAACCTAATAAATGACACATCTATATTTCAAAAAATATAAAAAGGTGAGAGCACTCTAAAACATGCAATTAGACTTATTACCAGTATTGTCTTGAATTCAATTCTAAAAGACAGCAAGACATAAAAAGGAACATAGGGTAATATTATCAAAATATAAATATTGTCCATAAAATACTGGTAAAACTCACATGTTTCTGAGTCACTTATAGAAGTTGACTCAGACTAAAAGCTTGTAGTGGAGATGCAGATCTTTTAAACTGGACGTCTTTTAAATGAGTTCCCTCTGGATGTTGGTCTTACAATTATTCCAGGATACAAAATCAAAATAAAACTTGTTTATTCAATATAAAAACAAAATAATTGAACTCAAATATAAAATAAAGATTGTCCATATAGAATTACCACGACGCGTTTCGGCGAAATAGCCTTTCTCAAGTGGTCTGAGCCAGCTTCTATAAGTGACTCAGAAACATGTGAGTTTTACCAGTATTTTATGGACAATATTTATATTTTGACAATATTACCCTATGTTCCTTTTTATGTCTTGCTGTCTTTTAGAATTGAATTCAAGACAATACTGGTAATAAGTCTAATTGCATGTTTTAGAGTGCTCTCACCTTTTTATATTTTTTGAACACTTTAATCTTGTGTGGCTGAGTGACTCACACTAGGTGATAGTAGCACCAAATTGTACTTTTTCCCCCATATTTCTATTTGTTATTACATCTATATTTCAGTTAGAAGCACCAACTAGAATAGATGCTTGTCTGAATCTTGTAATAAATAATAATGTTGAGCTATTTTCGAACATTACAGTTAGACAATAATATGGTATAATTTGGGAGTAACAAGAAAAAAAATACATTTGTATGGGTTTTACAAAGAGGCTTAATTTCAAAAGCGCTAATTTCAATTAGATAATGGCATCTTCCCAACAAATTGGTAGGAACTATGGTATTAATCAAGAAAGATCAGAACAAGCAGACATTCTAAATATTTTTTTCTTCAGTATATCGCAAAAGAAGAATCTATGGTTGTAGATTAGCAAATTCCTGTTACAAAAGTATGTGTTTTTAATCCAAAGAGAAATCCATTATGGAGTCGAGAAGGAATGTGTTTCCTATTTTAAACTATAATTAGCTTCAATAGTTTTTTTTTTTTTTAACTTCTTTTGGATCAGCAACATAAAGAAATAGGTTTTAAAAGTTGAACTTATGCAAGTGTGTGAGGAATGTTTCTTAAAGTCAAACACAATAACATTACAGCAGTGAATTCACCAATCATTAAATGAGCACTATAGTGCCAGGAAAACAAACTTGTTTGTTTTCCTGGCACTATAGGGTCATTAGGTCCCCCCCCACCCTCATGGCCCCCCTCCCGCTGGGCTGAAGGGGCTAAAACCTTTTCAGCCACTTACCTTTCTCCAACGTTGGGCTCCCTCAGTGCTATGGAACTCTCCTCCTCCTGCCGACGTTAGCACCGAATGCGCATGTATAGTGTGTGTATAGTGACTGCAGAGTGTGTATTTGTGTAAGGATGTAGTATGTGTATAGTCATAGGTCAGGTAATATTGTAGTTTTTGTATGTCAGCACAGTCACAGTCCCCTTTTTTGCTGCTATTCTGGCTTTCCAATAATTTTTTTTGGATAAAGAAATTCATCCGAACCGACCAGCTGACCCAACTAAATTCTAGAAACCTGGAAATGCATTGTTGATTTTCCAAAGTGTTTCAGAAGGACTAAATTTGTTCGCCATACACAAATCTAATTCACATCTTCCTTAAGGGTGGTGTTTGCAAAACATTGCCTATATCCTGCAACCAGTGTTCCAGCTAATACCAACATTATACTTTTTTATAGTTAAATACATAGTATGTATGATAATATACCTGGTTGACTAAAAACTTATACTACTTTAGTGGAAGCAAATTTCTGCTAGAAATAAAACATATGATGGGGACTCTTATTAGCTCTGACCGGGCACTTTCTCAAAATAAAATTCTAGAAATGTGCATGGACAAAATATTCGGTTAGGTTCGGCACTTCAGCAATTCGGGACTTCGGCAGTTCGGCAATTCGTCACTTCAGTACTTCAGTTTGGTTCGGCACTTCTGAAATTCGGGACTTCTGCAATTCCAAAATTCGGCACTTTGGGACTTCAACACTTCGGGACTTTGGCAATTCGGGACTTCGGTAATTCCCTAACCTTAACCCCTACCCTTAACCCTGCCCCTAACCCTACTCCTAACACTAACGCTACCCCTAACCATACCCCAACCCCTATCACTAACTCTACCCCTAACCCTACCCCAACCCCTCTGCTAGACCTTGTACTCACACAACAGCTACTAGCATATTTCCCCTTAACCTTCCATTGCTTTTTTTTGTCCCTCAGGTGTTCACTGATGTGAATTATCTTCAGGATTTACTGAAGTTCCTTAAATCTGTTTTCCCCATTTTATTCTTTTTTTCTGACATCTTTTTTATACTATTACCACCTTATCTCCTACCCATCCTCTTCTTCATATGGAGAAAATTTAGTTTTCTTATGCAGCCAGCAAACCATTAAGGTGGTTATCTTACCTTCCACATAATCTGGAGTTTCTTTAACCTAAATTTACAATTCACTTATCAATTCACCTCAAGATCACTGTATCACTATATTTCTAATTGTAAACTATAGCAAACTTTCGTTAGGGAAAATGAAAGTATAGTGCAATCCACTCTTAGCTACTGATAAGTCAATTAAAATAACCCCACCTCCGAGGAATCTATCTTTATTCAGTCAGAGATATCAGTATCTATTTTGTGTCCCATGTGTGATAATTTACACTATCTTTTTTTTAAAAAAAATGCATCAATGACATTTTATGTTAATTTTTTTTATTGAAAGCTTCATCAAAGAAAACAGAAATTTAAACCTAACATCCACTGTTCTACGAAAGCCCCAGGAGTGGAGAACATATTGCCATTTGGGCCATATTACATAATTAAACAACCCCTATAAACCACATCTTTCAAAATGTTTATTTTGAGACAATTATGGCATCAAAATTTTATTTTTTCAACATCATAAAATCTAAATCTTGGCTGTAAGAAGGCTTTTATCCCTTTTAGTTCCATAGGTCAAAGTATCTGAAGTAGCTCATTGACCAAACGGTACACTTGAATAAATTAAGCAGGCCCTCTCGGAATTACATTTTCTTAAATGTCATTGCTTTTTTATTTTTTATTTAGAAACACATTGACAGATTTGTAAAAAGGTTTATAAGTCCCAAGCTTAGTCTCTGTAAAATTTGGATTCATAATTCAAAACGTAATTATAAACAGAACATTTATTTTTCAACATTAAATAAGCAATTTCTTAAATATAATTGAAGCTGTATTTATGACAACAATTTTGGTCCTGTTCAATTAAATTTATAGTGATCCGTTTCAATGTTTAATTAGATAAAATGGGTTGTAAAAACGTCTTTAGAGAGTGAATTTTACAAAGCAAGATTGTAATTCTTAACAATATCTAACAGTTCAGCCAATACAACTGTAATTATATCGTCAATTGCTTATTTTGAAAATATAAGAAGAAAAAATAAAAAGAGTTTTGAAAGAAATCTCAAAAACAAACAAAAAAAGATGATTCTGGATTTAAAGAGCTTCAAAATGTTGAGCACTTGATACTACAGAATTTACCAGTTCCAAATAGGGGACAGTTCTTTCCAGAACTGCCTGCTAAGCTTCAAGGTAATAGCCTATTAAAGAGAAAATTGTTACCCTCCGAGTTCCCTCATTTCAATGCTTGTTTAGTATAGCATTCAAGACAACAAAACAAAAATATAAAGTTTTTAAAAAAATAAAAAATGAAATTCTCTTTAAAAAAAAAATCACATTTATAAAAACAAGTAAATGTGAGACATTCCTTTTTGTTTTTCCATAACCTCATTACATTTTACAATTGTAATGAAATGTCAATAAAGACTACTTAGAAAAGACAAAGATACAGATGTAGATGTAATCCTTTGTTTTTAAACCATCAACATTTCTGTGTTAAACAAGCGAAGTGACAAAAAAAGTCAATAAATTTTACTTTTATATTGAGCGAACTCAAATTTGAAAAATAAGAAGACAACTAGGAATAAATGCGTCCATATTTATGCAGTTAAAAAAGCAAATTTTGCAAATATCGTCATTAACTAATTATTGACATTTCACATACCAAATGGTTAGCCAATTAATCATGGTGGAAAGGGTCATACATCTCTCTGTCATTGAATTATATAAATATTCACTCTAATACTAACTACATCTAACTTTTAACATATTGGGGCAATTTCTAAAATTACCATGGAAACCCGTAAAAATGTTTAACTTTTTGTTTATCTTTTAGAACTCTGTCCTGTAAAAGTCCTGTATAACTAATCATGATTTCATGTGTCCCTTAACAAAACACACAACCATTTGTAAATTGAAATGAACACAGTTATGAATAACTATTTTGTTATTGATGTGCAATCTGAGAGTATCACAAAAAAAGAGCATATGCAAAAAGTAAAAATAGAGTAGAGCCTGGATATACTGTATGTTATGTACTACATGTGATAATTTATACATTTTTAATGGTACATAAATCAAAATGTTTAGCAAGTTATGGGGTACACTAAATATTACAATCACTATAGCGTATTATAGTGGTTATGGTGCAAAGGACTTTGCATACTAAGCCTTGCTCTCCTTTTCATATCATCACATGTCATCATATTGGTTGCTGAATAGTCGGATTTTACGTATTATTTTCTAAAACCACATGGAATTGGTTTGACACAAACTGGAGGTTCTCTTGTGACCAAAGTCTTGTCACTAACACTTCAAATTTATCACAAAATTATTTATTTTGCATTAGCCATCCAAATCGGTCCAAGTTCTGATGCCATTGATAGGATGAGTGCAGGTGTATAAATACCTTTCTAGAGATAATCAATTGGAGGAAAATTATCAAGACTTATCATGACTTAAAAAAAATTGTTTTAGGATTGAAATACATAGTTTGACTATTTTTTTAGGAGGGAGGGATGACCTCTTATTCCCCATAAAAAAAAAAATTATAATTTTGTATGTAAAAGTCCATAATTTTGTGTTTATCATGTGTGATAAAAATATTACAATTCCTTAAAGGATATAAACATATGATGCTAAATGTAGTTTTATGTAGTTTTCTTATAGATTTAAACACTGAAAGATGAGCAAAACATATATTTGATGGGAAGGAAAAAATAGAATTTTTTAACAAATAGTATATGTATATATATATATATATTTCAGAAAATGGAAATATTATGGAGCTCTGTATTCACAGAATTGAATTATGAGGAATAGAATTTATATTTGAAGGGAAAAAACATTAATATATATATATTTTATTATGTTATTATGTTTTATTATGTTAATGCCCCCTCAAATATAACTTCTATTTCACATAATACAATTCTGTGAATTTAGAGTTCTCTAGTATATTAAATTTTTCAGGTGCCAGCTTTCTTTTATTTTCTGGAGAGCGTATTGTCCCTCACAGAAAATATGCAACCATATAAAGTAAATAGTTCTATTGTAAACAGTTTGCATATTAAGATTGTGGTACTCAGGAAGCACATATCTGGTGATGTAGGTAAACTCATTTTACAGCAAATAGAAATCACTGGTGCTTCTAGTGGCAACTGACAGTAATCCTTGCAGTCAAAACATTGTGATGGTAGCCAAATAATAACTTGTGGAAATATAAAATAATATATACTCTACGCCAAGAAGTGTCCAATCATAGGCAGTTTGAAATAGGCAAAACACATCAGGTTTATCTGTTGTGTGTAGCAGTAAAGATTTGGTTCATATATGCATACTTTTTGTTTTATTTGATATATGTTTTACCTTTTATCTTTATTATATTGATACAGTTTGGATTGGCTGTATTTATTTGAGTCACAGTTCTTTAACACCTTAAGGACATATGACGGAAATATTCCGTCATGATTCTATTTTATTCCAGCAGTTGTGTCCTTAAGGGGTTAATTATCCTTTTTGAGATGAATATTTGAGCCAGTTAGAGCACAAACATCCAATTATTTTACAGGTGTTATTCATTTATTTTTTTTCTTTCATTAATTTAAAGAGTAAAGATAAAATATACAGTGTTGATATAAAAGGATTTATGAGCATACTTATTTGAACAGACATGACTATTCTCTACATGATGCGCTGTTGGTGATTCTCAAAGACTGGCTCAAGAACTAATGATGTAAAATGACACTTTTATTCTGTGATAAATCTAAACTGTTATAGTAACCTCCATGAAAGACATGGCAACTAAAATTTAAAAAATATCACTTGAATAAAATTTTAAAGTGGATATTGAGAAATAAATGTGTAATAAATAAAATAAAAGTGAACTGAATGTAATTATATATTTTTAGTAGAATATCAAATGTATAGATTTGCAGATATAGAGAAATAATACTCATCTGATATTCTGTTCCAGTATTTGAGGAATAAGTAGACACAGACTTAAGTTACGCCTGCCAATCTTCCCTACCCACCTTCCAGGATGGACAAACCTGAGCTATCTGAAAGCAAAGTGAGCATGCAGTTAGAACTACATTAAAGGGTTAATATAACCCTATTGAGAGAAGGGACATTTCCAGCGTAATGTGCCGACTAGGCACTGTGGGGAAGATCCCCCTCTCAGTTTGTAGTAAACCCTGAAATAAAAAGTTTTTCTTACCTTGAATCCAGAGCCAGGCAAAGATTCCGGTGCTTCTCTTTCGCAGCCCCATCTGACCATTCATGGTCCATGTGTTGTCTAATCACAGGCTTCTCATAGCCTGGGATTGGACATAGAGAAGCCTGTGATTGGACCAATTGCTGGCTCATGGCACATGCGCATGCTAAGGGCCGGCGATGGGCGGGAGGTGGTAAGGAGGGAGGAGGATTTTTACAAAAACCCACCAATGAACACAGAGAGAGGAAGGAAGGAGCGCAAAGTTGGGGGAGGGGCTCTATCTTCCCATTGCAGGTGCTCTGCCTACAAGGGGACGATTTTAACATCTGTTGTCAGTGTGCAGTGCAATTTATGCACAGAATTGACATTAGGCTGTTTGGAACAGAGTACTGGGAAAAGAGTTATGTGTGCTGGGGACGCAGCTTGCCCCAGCACATAAATGCCAATAACTTAGTATGTGCAGTGTTTTAAGTTGAAACACTGCACAAACTGACTCCAGACGCCATAACTACTTAAATGCACTGAAGTGGTCATGATGGTTGGGGTAACCCTTAAGTATTTGCACTCTTCACCTTGCAAAAAAAAATGCAAAGTGATCATGGAGTTAGATGTAAGTAAGGTAAGTACTTAATTTTAGTTATATCTGCACACCTAAACATTTGATAGATTTTAGCACAATTTATAAATACATTTAATTTCAGGTAAAAAGGTAACTACTGTCTTATCTCTTGTGGGGATTTCTTAAATTTTTAGGTATATTCTGTGAATATAAAACGTTATATACAACCCAATCCTATGTCACTCGCTTGATTAACCTTTGAATGATGGACGATATAATGAATATTCAGAGAACAGAATATTATGCCCTGAACAAATAATAACAATAATATTATGCCCTAAACAGCAATAACCTACTGAGAAAGCATAATACTTAAAAGCAATACAGATGGCACAGACACCAATTTATAAAATATCCCAAATTATTAAATTAAATTGTTTATTGATGTCTTTCTCACTTTATCATGTGATCTTTTGTTTAATTTGAATGTCCCAATACAATGTCATAAACTTGAGCTCTTGAAGATATACAGTTGTAAAATGAGCTTACTTATCCAGAGTATTCCAGATCACAGAGAATTGTCATTGTTGTGTAAATCATTGTGTTGCACTTATTTTAAAAGAAGAACTGTCACTTAACATTATTAAATACTACATTGAAAAACACCTATACATTGTGTTAACCTTTTTCATAAGAAGTTCCATTTTCTTTAAAAGATTTAGCAAAGGACTTCATAATCTAGTTCAGACAATACAACATCAGGGTATACATTGCAAACAAAGAGGAGGAACATTGTTTATTAATTTCTCCTCTTCTCTCCATGCTCTCTCTACGCTGGCTAGCAGGCGCAAATACCAGAGCTTATAACATTGATTGACATCGAGCTAAGATGGCGGCGCCCAGCTTCTCGATAAAATGGTGTGGAATTCTACATTAAATTTTATTTTGCACACCTCATAAATACATACTTGTTAAAAGTAAAGATAAGTAAACATAATGTTTAAATAAATTTAGGAAGTGACAATTCTCTTTCAATGGCCTTAAATCGCTTGTTTAAAAGTCAGGGTACTTTCCAAGGTTTTCTCATTTAGCAGGCACTCACATGGTATTCTGTCACATATAAATTAATATTTGCAATAAATATGATTAGATGTCTTCCTTTTTATCAAATACTGACTTCAAATTTTTGTTTTTATCTTGACATCTTCTTCGAATCATCAAATGTAATCTAGGTCTATGAACAAGAATAACCATCATTAATAATCTCATCATCTGTGTGTTGGAAGCAACAGTTCTTGTCTGTGATAAATGTTTTCTAATTGCAATGAAATTTTGAACAATAAAAAAATAATAAAAATTAATATATATATATAGATCTATATATATTCAGAGTAAATGCTATAAGGAACCAAAAATAAAGATGTGGGGGTTAGACTTTAACAATGCAAACATGTCATTTTTTAACACACAACACATTCTTAAAAAAAACAATATGCCCCAGGCATGAAAGAGATTTTTTTTTTTTTTTTTTATACAGAGACTGTTTACCATTAGCAGCTTAAAATGGGTAGGTGTTTACACACGTGACATAAAAATAGCAGCAGTTATCTGAATTGTGACAAAATGTCTCTCTGGATTTGTCACCTGCCACATGATAGCTACCTCATCACATATTTTCAAAGAATAATTGAGGCCTTTTATAGTGTGAAATAAAAAAAATAAAAAAATGTGTCCAATTTATATTAAACATATTTCTGTTTAGTATTTATACCGAAAACAGCTGCCAACACCATATTGTAAAACATAGGCACATTACTACAAATGCAAAAGAAAGTGTTATGAAAAAGTTTCGGAAAGACAAAAAAATGCGTATACAGAGATGCTTTTTAAATGAATGTATCATCCAAAATTATTGGCATGAATGTGAGACAGACTTATTTTAGCTCATGGACATGAACACAATTTGTAAAACTATCATTAAAAAAATAGTTTTATTTTTATACTTGTGAAGTGTAAAATAAAAATAAAAAATCAATGAACCTAGGTGTACCTCTGCATTGAGGCATGAATTAAATGTTGTGGTGTTTTTGTTTTTTTCCACTACCATTTTATTTTTATTAAATTAGTTATGCAAATTACAAATTCTTTTCAAAAGTAACTGCATTGACCATTATCCATTGTTTGAAATACGCCCATGTTAAACTTTCATTTTACCCAGTTACTAGTCTTTAAATGTTCTAAAATCTATTATTTCTGGGCAATTAATGTCAACTAAAGTGATTGTCTATATGTCTTTTAAATGTTAACATTGAAAAATGGCAGGCATCACTTAAAATGTAAACAAATTATACTGCCATTGTTTGTTGACTAGAATAAAATAAATCACTGAGAGAGGTCTAGTTTGGACAAAAGGAAGACTCATAACTATAGAAAATCAGGCTATTCTATAAAAATGGATTTGTAGATACCATATGAGGATGATACATGGTACTCCATTTAATTTGCAATATGCTAGGGTATTTAAAAACAGTGAGGATTGCAATCAAGTTGCCACAATGAGTCTCTACGAACAATATATACTACGTAGAATACCAGTGGAAGATAGTATAAAGGAAGGAAATAGTAAAAATTGGTCCGGCCATGTAGGTCAAATAAAGATTTAAAAAATTAAAAACAAAATAAAAACAACAACAAAAAATACTATCTTCGGAACTGCTTTCGGGTGTTTAGGGTGTCACTTCATCTTTGGTATAAAATAGGCCATCCATAGGCTGCAATTGATCACAACTAGGAAAGACTATAGAAATTGTCAACAATTTCTTCTATCTATTGCTTTTTTTGCACTTTTTTTTATCCATAAACTCCTAACTATTCTTGTAATACTATTAGGCTACCTTTTTGCAATATGACAAGCAAAGCGGACTAAAAATCTCTTAAAGCTCATAAAAAAGATTGCAAG